TAACAATCACATCACATTGTCATATAACAACAGAGTCAACAACAAGGGTTTAGGCACGACAAGTAGATGATTAAATACATACCAACAATTATCCAATTTACTCCACAATATGCTCAAGACTTTTAACTCAATATAATTTGCACATATAAACCAAGTACGTACTCGTCACCTCGCGTACATGGTTTTCAATTACCCAAGTTGCACATAAGACTCAATGCCTAAGGAAAATTTCCCTCACTCGAGGTTAAGCAAGACACTTACCTCTTTGAAGTTATGCCGATAATCCAAAATCGCCTTCTTGCTTGAATTGACCTTCGAGCCGTTCAAATCTATCCAAATTAATTATACAACTTCATTAAAATTCATCGGAAACAATTCCGGATAATAATACGTCGACTTAAAAATTTATTCCAAAAAGTCAACAAAAGTCAATGCGGGACCCGCCTCTCGAAACCCGACATAATTTTCATGAAATTCGAACACCCATTCAGATATGAGTTCAACCATACCAATTTTATCGAATTCCAATAACAAATCGACCTCCAAATCTTAAATTTTCATTTTGGGAAGATTTTACAAAAATCTTGATTTTTCTTCCATTAAATCCGAATTAAACGATGGATTCAAAGACATAATCATGAAAATTAATCAAAACTAGATAAGAATCACTTACCCCAAACACCCACGCAAGAATCTCTCCAAAAATCGCCTTCTACCGAGCTCCAACTTTGATTTTGAGTTATGAACTCAAACCCCCATTTTTGGGACTTTTAATTCTGCCAGATAGGCTTTCTTCGCGTTCGCGACCATTACCTCGCGTTCGCGAAGGCCAAAACCCAACTGCCTCAAATCTTTCATCGCGTTCACGACCTCCCCGTCGCGTTCGCAAATGCCAATTATTTCTGCCCCATCATTTCCTCTTCGCGTTCACGAACCCCTCGTGGCATTCGCGATGACCTGCTGACTAACTCCTTCGCGTTCGGGTTCCAAGCTTCGTGTTCGCGAAGGCCAAACGACCCCATGCCCCTATCTTCCTTTTCTTCTTCGCGTTGCTTGGGCCGCGTTCGCGAAGGCTTCCCCTATTCCTTCTTCGCGTTCGCAACTTCGCGTTCGCAAAGGACAAATCATCAGCCCCTCAAACTCCTCTTCGCGAACGCGGGACTTCCTTCGCGTTCGCGAAGAAGGAAACCAGACTTTAGCAACAACAGTCCAAACAGCTCCAATTTGGTCCGAAACCACTCCGAAACACACCCGAGCCCCTCGGGACTCCGTCCAATCATGCTAACCAGTCCCATAACATATTACAGACTCGCTCGAGGTTTCAAATCATATCAAATTACGCCGAAAATACAAATCGCACTACAAATCGAACTTATGAACTTCTAAAACTTCCAACTTCTAAAACTCGTGCCGAAACCTATCAAACCAACCCGGAATAATATCAAATTTTGCAGGCAAGTCCCAAATAATATAACGGAACTGTTCCAACTCTCGGAATCGCATTCCGGCCTCGATATCAAAAAGTCAACCCCCTGGTCAAAACTTTCCAAAATTTTGAGTTTCGCCATTTCAAGCTTATTTCCACTACGGACCTCCAAATAATTTTCCGGACACGCTCCTAAGTCCAAAATCATCATACGGAGCTAACGGAACCGACAGAACTCCATTCCGGAGTCGTCTTCATATAATTCCGACTACGGTCAAAATCTTAAAACTTAAACTCCCTTTTTAGGAACTAAGTGTCCCAAATCACTCTGAATCATCCGAAATTTAAACTTGACCACACACGCGGGTCATAATACATATCGCGAGGCTGCTCAAAACCTTAAGTCACTGAACGGGACGTAAATTCTTAAAATGACAAGTCGGGTCGTTACAATTCCATAACAAAATAATATCATTCTTGACGTAGAAAGTCAGATGCAAATATGGAAGTCACTCTTAACATTAAGACTAACAAATCACATTGTTAATCAAGGTATGTTTAGTTAAACTTTTACAATATATTTTCTTATGTTTTTTCCCTTTAATTTTTAGGTCACGCAATAGTTACAAAATCTGATTGTAGGTGTTTGAGGGTGAAAGATCAAGAATTTAAACTTTTCAAAGTAGTCAGTAACTTCAAAGTTGTCAGTACTTCAAAGTTGTCACAAGAGTAGAAATGTTATGCTTTCACATTCACTTTTTCTAATATTGAAAGTGTACATAGATCAAATTCCATTTAAAAGTTTTAGATCTTGATAGATGTTGCGCTTTATACTGTGAAGCCCGCTGCTATTTAAATAAGATTTCACAAGCGATTTTACGTGTGACAATTAATATATTTACTTACCCTATTTGATTATGTTCCCTTTAATGACTCTTGACATATATTGCTCTTTTAAATGCTCCATAAAACTATTGTTCTTTCTTTTTTGAAACTAATTATGTGGGGGGAAGTATTGCAAGTGTTCTTGTAGGAAAAATAAAAGGAGTCTTCTCTATTTGAAATCGCTTTATTTTTTTTCTTCTCCTTTTCTGTGTATTTGCTTATATGGAGATATTTTTTTTAGGCAAGGAAAGGGAAGATGGTGAGTTACTTTTCTCTCTTTATAAGAAGAGTGTAAAGGAAATACAGATAGGAGCAAAAGAAAACATTAGTTAAAATGTTGTGGTCATATTGATATATGGTTTTTTTATAACCGCGCGAACCGCGGACAAATTTACTAATATATATATATATATATAAAGCTGGGCAAAAAAAAAATGATGTGGCGCATCTCATTGCCCAACATTCATATTTATCTTTTATCTGAATTTTTTGCCTTTTTCTCTCTTATTCTTTATGTCCAATTTAATGTATAAATGCTTCAATTCATTATCAAATAAACAGCTGTTTCCACCAATTCAAAATTGAAACGCCTCATAAATAAAGAACCGTTTCTTTCTAGTGGAATTTCAAAAGCCTCACACACATTTATCTATCAAATATCAACTGTAAGCACATAATTTTTAATTCGCGTAACTTTTAAAAGTAGTATTTTAAAAATATTTGCTTATTTTTATTTTTAATAGGATTTCTAATCAACTTTTAGGTTTAATTGTAAAACATAAGTTTGAAAACACAAAAATAGTTTTATAACGTTTTTTTAGCTTATTATTATTTTATAATATTTATAACATTTTAAAAAAATACCAAAAATATTTTTATTTTAATATATAGTTCACTTTAATGATGTATTCTTATTAACTAAGATTAATTAGTATATTTTGGTAGTATTTTTATTTTTATTTTTATTTAATGAGAAAAAATTTAATTTGGGCCTATTGGGAGTTCATTTTCGGATTTTAGTGGCCTACCAAGACAAAGATCTATTCTTCCCAATCCATTTTAGCCCAAACCCTTTTATCATCCATCAAACCCCTCCTCCTTTAATCATAACCATTGATCTACTTTCATCCGAGGGCCAATACTCACTCCCCATTACCATATAAAAACCAAATTAACACCCCAAAACCCTAAGTTAATTCCCCCACTTCAGACACAAAAGACTCCCGCAGTCACCCCTTCTTCAAAAAAAAAAAAACAGCCACACCTAAAATCAGCCGCACCTCCCAAATATAGAGAGATCTCCATCGTCACTCTCTCTGAAAAAAAGAAAAGTTGTAGTTTGGTGATGATATTTTCAGCAAGTTAAAAAAAAAACATTGTGAGTCGAATTTTAGCAGATCGGCAAAACCAGAACATCTCTATACAAAAGTTCAGGTTCGAACACCACCAGATTTCGGCCTGAAACTGTTCAGATTTAGCCGGTCTTGCGATTTTCCGACGACTCGAGTTTCAATTTTCTGTTCGAGGTTGCGTTGCCGGTCCGGGGTTCCAGTTAATACCTCGTTTGAGCGTTGCTATTTCTTTGGTGCTAGCTTGCTTTGTATGCAGCAAAAAGGTTAGAATACAATAACAAAAAGTCTATTTTCATTTACATATGATTTTGGTTGGTTTCAGGTATGAAAATGTGACTTTCTCCGGTCACATTAGTAAGTGACGTTGTGATTTATGAATGTGCTATGCTTCCTCTAGTAGTCTCTTGAATTAGTTTCATTATTGAGGATCTCGATTACGAGGAGGTGATAATGAAAATTCTTGGGTAATTCAACTATCTTCATTTGAGTTTCAGTTGGGCGGTTACTGCTTTTAATAATGTGACAGTGATCTTTAACAATGTTCTTGGGCTTAACAAGTTTAATCTCTGGACCTCATTGATTTTAGTCAATAGATTAAGATAAATGTCTCATAATTTTAAAGGTAGAGTAATAGCTCCTTCCATAATTCTCATGCCTTACAATAATCTCTAATTAGCTTTAGTAAATAGTTAATGAATATGGTAGCTTACTTTAGACACGATTAATAATAATTTCTCGCGACTATGGGTACGGTTCCCGTGGCATAGTAGCGATACATAAAGCAAAGTTCGGATGTGCATCGCGGGTGCATTTTACGTAGCGCGATTTGCAATATGTACCAAAACGATAAGTGTACGACATCATAACTTGTTCCAGCAATAATTCCATAAGCACTAAAAAGCGATTAAATTAATTAAAAGCAGTTTTAAAGTAAAAAAATGCACAGTAGGTTTCAAATATGTATTAAATCAGATAATTAGGCCAATTATTAATAGTTGAGCGACCGTGCTAAAACCACGGAACTCGGGAGTGCCTCACACCTTCTCCCGGGTTAACAGAATTCCTTACTCGGTCTTCTGTATTCGCGGACCATAAATAAGAGTCAAATTTCCTCGATTTGGGATTTAAAACAAAACCGGTGACTTGGGACACCACAAATTATTTCAAGTGGCGACTCTAATTAAATAAATAATCTCATTTCGATTTATGCCACTTTAATTAAAAACTCCCCTATTCTTAGGGAAAAAGGAGGTGCGACATCAACAATAAAGCCCAAAAGTCTCATCACCCAAAAAACAAAGTTTTAAAAAAAAGAAGAAAAGAAAAAAAGGACCTAAAAGCATATCCACATCTCCCAATTTTAATCGTTTTCAAATGTCCTATGTTTGCCCATTTATTTCATCCCTTTCAGTATGTCCGGTAGTGTAGAATCTTTCGTAGAGATTTTCAGTGGCGGACCCAGGATTTTGTGCAAGCGGGTTCAATTTTAGAAGTATACAAATTTAGTCATAAAATAGTAGTTGTCAAGTGGGTTCAAAAAAAATATTTATGCAAAATTTACACAGCTTTAATTCTAATTTATACATATACACAATATTATTTTTTTGTGAAGCGGGTTTAGTTGAACCCGCTAGCCACCACTTGAGTCCGTCACTGGAGATTTTTACTATATAATTTTAAATTTTAAATTTTAAATTAGGATGTTTAATTATATGTAGTTAAGATATTGATATTACTGATGGTTTCGATTAATTTTGTTCTTTTGTGTTTGATAGATTATCATACAATAGAAGTTCAAACATTCGAAGGCAAACCGACGACAAATACTACGTTAATATTCGGCCAAAAATTGTGTATGACGTGAAGTTTTCTCATACTTTAGAGATCTGAATATATATTTTTATGTGTAGGATTTGAAGTTTTCTTATTTTCCTTTTTCTTATCATACATTTTTAAAAATATATTTGTTCATATCCTTTTTTTTCCTAGGTTTAGTGTGCACTTGCTTCTTTTGGTATTCGTATTATGTTGGTCTTCTGCGAATGGTTATGCATATATATGGAAAAAGGAATACTTGTAAAGTTAATAATATTTGGTAATATTTATAGGATTATCTTTCCCTGCTGGTTATTGATATGGAGCGGGGAGGAGGGGGGAGGGGTAGAGGGTGAAATTACACTTTTTTGTGACTTATAAGGGAAAAATCATTGTCTTTTTCTTCTTCTTCTTCGTGAGACTTTTCTCATTTTGAGTTTGAATCTTACGTCGTTTAATAATAGAAGAAAAATCACATAATCATTTGTCTTTAGAAGATTTTATGTAACTTTTATTTTATTGTCTTTGAGTATAACTATTTGACAATTATCTTCTTATGAATATGTAAAGTTGTTGCGTCTTGATTCCGCGCTTGTGAAAGTCCAATTTTAGTTATAAAAAGTATTTTTTTTATAGATAAATGGAAGTATAAAATGAGGAGAGAAATCCGTGTTTAGGTGATTGTTCTTTTAGACTGGATGTGAATTTGGAATACTTACAGGAACATGTGATATTTCTTTTCATGAACAAGATGACATACATTGGGAAGGGAAAAAAGGGATGGCTGCTCAATGAGTCCCCCCCTAAATGTATATTACTTTGTTGATATAATTAAACAAAAACAGCTAAATGTTATGAAATAAAAGCAATTTAGTAAAACATGAACAAGAACAAGTTATGAAATAAAAGCAATTTAGTAAAACATGAACAAGAAATAGAGATAGAGAGAAGGAAGAGTATTTCTTCTTCAATTGTGTGTATTTTTCTATCTATTACAAGGCCTTTATATAAGCATGAAAAGTGAAAAAAAATATGTCATTGAATATGTCATTAAGCATAAAAATATGTCATTGAATATGTCATTTAGCATTTGAGAAGATCATGGAGGAAGAGTAGACATCCACCATAATTTGATTTTTCTTATAATACTCCCCCTTGGATGTCCATAGATAATGTGCCTCGTTAAAATCTTATTAGGAAAAAAATCCTATGGAAAAAAAATCCTAGTGAAGGAAAAAGAGTACACATGTTTAGAAATACGCCTTTTGGTTGCCTCGTTAAAAACCTTGCAAGAAACACCTAGTGGGACAAAACCTTGTAAGAGAAAAAGAGTATAACATGTATTAACTCCCCCTAATGAGAGCATCAATTCACATCCTTGAGCCTTCGCATCCCAATCTTGTACACTAGTTTCTTGAAGGTTGACGTCGGTAGAGATTTGGTGAACAAATCAGCCATATTATCGCTTGAACGGATCTGTTGCATATTGATATCACCATTCTTTTGAAGATCATGCATGAAAAATAACTCCGGTGAAATTTGCTTTGTCCTATCCCCTTTTATGAATCCTACCTTCAATTGGGCTATGCATGCTGCATTGTCTTCATACAAAATTGTGGGTAGTTTGTCACACTTCAAACCACATTTGTCTCGAATAAGGTGTATTATAGACCTCAACCATACACATTCTCGACTTGCTTCATGAATAGCAATTATCTCAGCATGATTAGATGAAGTAGCCACGATTGATTGCTTAGTCGATCGCCAAGATATGGCAGTGCCTCCATATGTAAACACATAGCCTGTTTGAGATCGAACCTTGTGTGGGTCAGATAAATACCCAGCATCGGCATAACCAACAAGATCGGGACTGCAATCATTGCCATAAAATAATCCCATATCGGTAGTCCCTTTTAGATACCGCAATATGTGTTTGATTCCATTCCAATGTCTCCTTGTAGGAGCAGAGCTATATCTTGTTAAGACATTAACTGAAAAAGTTATGTCAAACCTTGTAATATTAGAAATATATATTTAGTGCACCAATTGCACTAAGATATAGTACTTCGGGACCAAGAAACTCTTCATTATTTTCATGAGGTCGGAATGGATATGCTTTATCCATATAGAATCGCTTTAAAATCTTTTTAGTGTATGCTGATTGATGAACAAAAAATTCATCTTTCATATACTCAATTTCTAGACCAAGACAAAATTTTGTCTTTCCAAGATCTTTCATTTCAAATTCTTTCTTTAAATAGTTTACTGCTTTAGGAAGCTCTACTGCTTTAGGAAGCTCCCTACGAGTTCCAATGATATTTAAATCATCAGCATATACGGTGATTATAATAAATTTAGATCCATATCTTTTTATAAGGACACAAGGACAAATTGAATCATTCTTGTACCCTTCTTTCAGCAGGTACTCACTCAGGCGATTATACCATATGCGCCTTGATTGTTTCAATCCGTATAAGAATTTTTGAAGCTTTATTTAATACATTTCTTGGGAACCTTAATATGCTTCGGAACAATTTAATCCTTCAATGATTTCCATTATACGCATATCAGTTTTTCTTGTATTGCCAGATTAAAACCTGAAATGGCGACATCCACCATAGGAGAACATGTCTCTATATAATCAACGCCAGGATATTTACAAATCTTCTTGTGACACAAATCGTCTTTATGTCTATCGACTTGACCTTTTTTTTCGCACAAGAACACATTTATACCTCCACTGGCTTTATACTTTCAGGTGTTGGGACTATCCGTCTAACTTCATATTTTTCAGGTGAAATCAATTTTCATTGCGTATTTTTCATTTGGCCAAACATTTATCTGTCCAAATTTCATGACAGATTTGAGCTCAAGATCCTCGTCAATATTAATAATATTGAGCGCTACATTATATTAACAATATCGTCGACGATCATTTTATATCGGTTCTACTATTATTCAATAAAGACATAACTTATTGAGATCTCTTTATCTTATTATTTTCAGGTACCTGAGCCTCTCCCATGAGGTCTTATGAAGTGTTATGTCGTGGTGCTCTTCTAGAGCACTTGCCTCCTTATTATGACCATCTTGAACATTTGCTCCTCTCCTTCTTCAAGGAGTTTTATCTTTGGAACCGATTAGTCTATTATGCTTCATGCATGCCATAGACTCTATTCATTATGAACTTTATTTTATTTGGAGCATTAGCAGCTGAATATGATATTTAGCTTTGGGTCAGCAAATACGCCTGGCAATATTTTGCAAATGAATTATCACTTGAACTTCAAGTTCACATTTTCTCATACGAGGATCTAGATGTACTCATAATAATTCATTACATGCATTACTTTTTCAGCTGCCCATTTTTTTCCCTATTCTTGGGATCACCAACACATATCTCTAGCCTTATTTGAGGATCCATCTTTGTGCATTGTGGTGGAACAATTAAATCATATAGCACATTTATATTTCTAGATGAAAATTATTTGGTTCCTGACCCTGAACCTATTGTGATAGGGAGAACTTATCATAACTTGGCTAGATGCGTACAAGTGCTGTAGTATATTAAATAATACATCACATACCAAATTTTAGTTTGGCAGTTTTGTTCTTATAACCAATGGTTTAGATATAATTGGAGGCATACAATTTCTGCTAAATCAACTTGGATTTAAATCAGTATTATCAAGATAAATCATCATAATTTATATTCTGGAACTGTGCTCTAATAATTTGAGCAATCAATCTTGCAAAAGCCAAATTGCAAGTTGATAACAAATGCACATGTTACCATGGAATAGATGCATCTATTAAAATCATATAATAGTAAACGATCCACATGGAAGGTAACTGGGCCCATATATTTATCACCTTTTATTTGTTCCAGAAATCAAGAGATTCAATCTCAACCTTAACTGGTATATCATGAGAATAAGCAGTACAATTGTTGACGAATCTTATATTTCTTCAATATATGACAATGTAATTTTTAATTAATTTTTCGCATCATAATTGAACCGAGATGGTCAACCGGTCATGCCAACTAATATTTATTTCAGTAAACCTCTACTTTACTTGTGGCTTGTAATTGCATCATCATGCTTATTTTTGTGTAGTACAAATAGAAAAAAAGTCAGGTAACCTTTTATATTTACCCGGTATGATTATAGTAATATAAAGATATTCAATCTTCTTTTCATTTATAGTCTCAATATGCCAACCACTTTGGCTAATATATTTGTAAATCAAAATATTTCTTTTGAGACTTACTACAATATTAATGTCATGAACAATTTGATTCATCCTGGTAGTAACAAATTAGTTCTTTCAGAGCTCTTAACTGCTTTTGTACTATAAAATCTTTTGTCACACCATCTATATAATGAATGTCTCCTTCACAAAGAGAATCATATCATAATAATTATCATGTTCAAAATCATCATAAGCAAAATAATTTCTTGCTTTAATTTGCTTTTAATAACTTTCATAAGGCATGACAAAATATTTTTGGCGTATCACCTGTATGCGACCAATGATATAATCATGTAACTACACAGTAATATTCATTATCTTTATTTGTCTCAAACCTCCCTTAGAGGTGAGTTGTGGTATGTATACAATCATGCATTGCACGTCTTTATTCATTACTTTTATTACATACTGCTATATTCACCTTCAGGAATGAGTCTACATTCTCAATGCTTATCACAAGTCATATTCTCTTAAAAAAAAATGGAGTATAATTATTGTGACATGCTTTATAAGTTTTTCATACTATTTTGATGGTAAATATTTCCTTCACCTTTTTGAAGGATTACATCGAGAACCCTTATTGTTCTTCGTTCATTCATACAGTCATGAAAAATTATTTTGTCGTTTTTCAAACTTATCATATATTGTTGCCATATTCGCTTTACTGAATGGAGCATATCAAGTAGGGCGGGCTTTATGATTCTTTCATCGATACTGTGCATTGTGACTCAAATCCAATGCCTTACCCATATAAAGGCATGTTAGGCAAAATATGTTGGGACTCAAACCCAACTCTTATCATTATAGTGCACCAGAACTTAAATATGTCTTAACTAGTTG